TTTCCTGCCATGGCAGGGGGTCAGACTTGATGATCTGCTCAGGTCCCTTCCAACCCTACCAACTATGAAACTGAAACTATGCAACCTTTGAGTAAGGCATGCCCCTCTCTGGCCCCCAGACATTGTCCTGATAGACAGGGCTGTAAAGAGGCATCCTGCCCAGGCCAGAGGAAGCAATAGTTGTGGCTTCCAACAGGAGTAGGGAATGTAGGGCTGTAGTGTCTCCACACACACCTGGTTGGGCCTGTGAAGTGCTGTGTTGTGTCTTTAGTTATGCAGTTGATGAGACGTTCATTTTTCATATGGAAGCAGGTGGAGGGTGGTTAATGGAAGATGCTTCACAGAGAAAGAAGGGTCAGGGTTAAGGGCTGGCCGTTGGGCCATCTTGTTTGCCTACTCTGTCAGGTTTTGGAATAATCTAAGTTTTTGCTTGTTCTAGTGGGGAACCAGTTACAGCCTGACTGTTTGCTGCACTGGTAGTCCTGTTGTGTTATTTCCATAGTCCAGCTCTTCATTGCTCTGCCAAGCAGCTTGAGAGGTGCTTCTTTTGTGGACCAACTACCCCCTGCTCCTTTTTCTCCTGCCTGTTTCTTCCCATGCTGCACATCTATTGTGATAAACTTCAGGGATTGAAAACCACCATGCTGCTGAGATGAGATTTGGGCAGATATTGGAGCAAGTGTGTGCCACCCACTGTATTGAGCTGGGGAGACAAAGGTTGGATGAGAGAGAGGACTGCCAACAGAGGCCAGCTGAGTAAAAATATGACACTAAAGGCTCATTCTAAAGCTCACAAAGATGCAGGGAACCCTTCCTCAGGCCTCTGGGAGGTGAACATGCTAGACAAATTGTTTTCTGGGAAAGATGTCAGCTGAGTTGTACACAAGGTCAAGGTCAGCAAAACTGTTTTCTCATCAGAACAGTATGCTGTAAAGACATAGTTAATGTATATCCTGGCAACAAGCCAACCAGGTACCAAGCTCCTGAAGTTTATCGGGTTTCATTGGATACAGGAAAATAAAAGGAGTTTGAATAGTTTTGAAAAGTCAGGAGAATGAATATAATGTCCAAGTTCTTCTGCTGACAGTCACTCAACCCCCATATCACTGCTCGCAGTGGTTTTCTTCTTTTTTTTCAGATTTCTGAAAGTTAATGTACAACTATAAGGCATTGCACATTCAAGCTTGTTGACTGTTGTCTGTGCATTGCTGCTACTGCAGACCAACTACTTCAATTCTTTTTGGCTTTTAATGGAAACCAGTTTAATGTGCATCTCTTTTGACTAAGAGTGTCAGTGGCAAGAGTTTTATTTATACTTCAGGGTAATTTTCAGTGGGGAGCATTGCCAGAGAGAGGGGAGGGAAGGGACCGAACAAAGTACTTCCTGTAAAGAAGAAATGGGCTTCACTAGCGAAAGCACAGCAGAGATAAGCTATATTTCTTTTTGTACTTTGGGTAATTTTGCAACTGTGATTTTCTGTGTACCTTTGATATCTTTTTTAATACAGGCCAGTCTACCAGATGTCTTAGACACATTTTGAGTAGGCAGAAGGAAAGGCAAGCTGGTTATTTAACCTCTTGCCTTTGCCAAACTGGCAGGGCTTATTAGAAATTACATTTATACAAAAATTTACCTCCTGTTTCTTATCCAAGGGTAGCTTCTGCTTTCAGAAAAACAGAATTTGTAGTTGGGAACTATGTTTGTTCTGCTTTGATAAGCACATAAGTGCTTACTGAATCTATTGTTGAGGAAACTTAATACAGTAGGAAATCATTAAAAGCAGCATATGAAACCACCAGAAAGCATTCAGTGTCTTTGGGTGAACTTGAAACAATTTGACATCATCCTTTGTTTGTGGGTTCTTAGCCATTTCGTCTGCTCTGGGAAAAACTTGAAGATATTACTGTTTTTCATTGTGTGCTACACCCTGCTTGTTGCTTTAGTTAGAAAAGAATGCACAAGATGTTAACCACAAGCAAGTTTACAAGCAAGATATGCTTAAATATTTGTATATTCCTATAAAAATGTGTAGATTCTGAAACATCAATTCTGCACCTGTCTTATCTGGGAGGGTATATTCCTTACATACATACAGGTGCATCTTGTATAATTCAGGGATTATAGAATTTCCCTACAATTAACACAAACATTTTGCTAATGAATGCAAAGATTTACCATCTGGCCTTCATTTATTCATACTTTCATGCAAACTGAATATTCCTAAAGTGAAAATCTGGATGTGTTTGCAGGAGGTAAATTGGTGCTGAGGAATGAAAAGCAATGCATGTGTTAGTGTGAAAGCAGAAGTCTGATGAAGATCTTAATTGGTTACATTTCAGGCCATTGCTACCTAGGTGCACCTCTTCAGTGGAGTCATGCATGTTCAGACCAGGACTGGATTTGGCTTCCAGTACTTACGGGTTGTACTTTAATCAGAATTTAAAAATCAAGGGTGTGATGTGGGAACATGCTATACTCAATCCATGCCAATGGGAGATATTGACAAGCTAAAGATGAATGGTCAGGGCAGTCCCCTGTGCTTGTCTATTTAAGATACTCAACTCAAACTACTATATGAACAATCTAATAACAGTTGGAATCTTTAAGTCATTATTTTTTTTCCTGTTTCCCCATGTGATATACTGTATTTTCTTGCATACAACGTGAACCTTTCCTCCAAAAATCAGTCCCTTAAAATTTCTGTGTGTATATGCTCGATCCTGGGCAAGCTGTTCGAGAAAATTATTCTGGCACGCATCCAGGAGGGGCCAGCAGGGAACAGCATGCTTAGGGGCAACCAGCACAGGTTCATCAGCGGCAGGTCCTGTCAGACCAACCTGGTGGCCTTTTACGACCAGGTCACTAAATCATTGGATGCAGGGGTGGCAGTGGATATAGTTTTCCTAGACTTCAGGAAGGCTTTTGATACTGTCTCTCACCCCATTCTCATTAGGAAGCTGGGGG